CTCTTTTCATCAGATTTACAAGCCTTGGGAAAAGGTGTTTGATAGCTTGGTACCATAATATTGCTACATATATACATTTTTCTAGACATTTACATTTTTTAAGAAGATGCAAATTGTGCACAACTGGAGTTCTGGTGGTTGCTAAGGTGTTTTGAGTGGTTGCTAGGGTCAGGGCTTTGTAAAATCAGAATGGAAAAATTGGCTCCCTTTCAGTTCATTAGGGATAATTTTGACTTGAATTGACCCTTCGCTGAGAGTTTGATTGACAGGTGATCTGACCAATCATAATGCCAAATCTTCCATTTTGTCCGACAAACAAACCAGACAGGAGAGTAGATTAACGTCGGTGGACATGAACTTGAAAAATGGTGTGTATTGACGTCTTTCCATGGCTGAAACAAGATACCTCCTGATGTTCATTCATGTTTATTTCACACTATAACTAGTATCGGTTCATGTGCTGCTTGAACTGAGGTGCTACGGTGATCTGTCAAGACATATTTAAGAGCCACAAAATGCTATTTACTGTTTGAATTTCTTAAAAAATGTCCAAATCTGAGCAGGTTACTTCTGGTATGAAACAAAGTCTCAGCTTTTGTCATTTTGTAAGAAATTCAAACAAATATCGTTTTAATGGCTCTTTAATGTGTCATGACAGATCGATGTAGCGTGTCATTTCAAGATTAGGTGTTGTGATTGGTCAGATCGCCTGTCAATCAAGCTCCCTTCGAAGGGTCAATTGGATATTGAGTATAAATTTGACTTGAATTTTATATAAAAAAATAAAATAAAGGTCAAAACTTAGTTGAAAAGTTAGTCTTGGCAAACTTTGATTTTCTAAATTACAATTATTAATTACCTTACATTTCAATGTATTTTTAATCTTCCTTACATTTCAGGTCAAATTGAAGTTCATTCTTAGCATTGTGTTTGTTACCTCAATTGAAGATAGCTGACTGTATGACTGACAGAATGCATTCACAATTCAGTTAGACCTTAATCAGCTTAGATACAATATTGAGTTTAATCACCGGAACAATTGGTATTTATATAAACAACAGTACAATCAATGACTGCATGCATTTCTATCTCTCATGGCCTCATTTTTATTCGTGTCAAAAACATGGTGCTACTCTGACCAAAGTCAACCCTGCTACTGTGCAGTATGTGGTTGCTAGGGTGTACTGAGTGGTTGCTAGGTGGTTACTTTCAGGCCCAAGTCACTATGATATTCTGGTCTGTTCAGTGCAAGTCTATTGAATCCCCCCCTGCCCCCACATTTTATGTAGTCACTTACAAAATAGTCATTAAGTCACGTGATGCTATTGTTTAGTTATATTTAGAGTTGGTTTCCTCAAATCCACAGGCTATTGTTAAAGTATAAAGCAATAATTGTGATGTTTGCTGAACTCTACAACTAAACATTTCAAAAACATTTGACAAAATACTTAAAACGTTCATGCTAATCTGTACAACATCAATAACAGCAGTCTTGTGAAGCGAACAGAAGCTGTGACTGCACCGATGAGCTGCTGCTTTGTTATCACTGCGCGTTTGCATGTTAACTCTACAGAGACTCTCTCCCACACCTCTTTAAACTTTAGAAACCCACTTCACCAAACACCTTCTCATCTCTTCTGGTGACTGCACATATTTTGAAGGCAATCATTGTTAATTATGACAGTAGATGAATGCAGCTCATTTAAGCAGATGTGTTCTCTGGTATTTGGTGCAGTAGTATCTCTAGGGCACAGTTCTGTTGATCGTCAAAACAGGAGGGAAACGCGGGAAGTTTTCTTTGTAGAACGGGCCACTGAAGAGCTCTCTGATGCGCTGTTCTTCACTACACGCTCGCCCTCCTCCACAGCTTCACGACAAGCGAGTGTTGCCCTGAGGCATGACGGCAGCACTTAACAGGCTTTTTCTGCATTTTCTAAAGACCAGATATGGCACTTATCCTAGTGCAACTGCAAGAATGGGGGAGTTAGAGTGCACACGAGTGTGCTGTGACCCAGAAGAAAGTCTTGTTGTGGACCAGTTGTAAAGCTTTAAGTGGAGTCAGCACTTCTCATTGTTTTAAACTGTTTAAAGGGGTCATCGGATGCAAAATTCACTTTTACAAGTTGTTTGAACATAAATGTGTGTTGACAGTGTGTGTACACAACCACCCTATAATGATAAAAATCCACCCAGTGTTTTTTTTAAAAATCCCGATAAATCCAAACCCCTTTCTCAGATCAAGCTGTTCACAGATTCTTGGCAGAATGACGTCACACAGACACAGGCCCCTCCCACGATTGTTGATTGACAGTGGCGTCGGTCTTTAGCTTTATCACAGGCCCACCCTGAGTGAGCTGTACACAGTCTGCCATTGTTTCGTAGACAAGAATGGCTCCTAAGCGATTGAGGTGTTTTGTTGTTGGATGTAATAATAAACATAGCAGTCGTCATTTACTCCCGACATCTGAGCCGCTGACGACGCAGTGATTATGTTTGTTTTTGAAGGGAATGCGCCCCCCGATCTACCTAAATGAGTCGTAAAAATGGTGTTGTTTTACACTACCATTGAGAAATTTTAACCAATTTAAGTTATAGACTTTTCATTAAGACCCTAAAGAATCATATCAACTTGTGGAAAATGGGCATCCGATGACCCCTTAAAGGGACTTGTTTTTCTGTATTGTTTCAATTCAACCTGATCCATAAATGAAAATATGACATTAAAAATACAATGAAAATTGATATAGTTTATTTAAAATAAATGATAAAAATAAATGTGTATTGTGAGTAGGCCTGTCGCAATAATCAATATATCGACTTATCGCGTGATATATGTACATGACCGCAATAATTTTTGGTGACGCAATATATCGCCCATTATATTTACTTACAAATTAATTTCACCATGTTTTGTACATTCCACTTGCGCCTGTGTCTTTTGCAGCTTCTTGTACATCTTAATTTCCATGATCTAAATATTCTTAAAAATTAAAAGTTTGTTGTCATTTGGAAGTGTGTAGGCCTTCTTGCATTATTATGCTGTTACATTATGATTATATATTCAGTGGCATAAAATGGTCTTTAAAATGACAATAATATCGCTTATCGCAATTATTTATGTGGCAATATATCGCACAACAAAAAGTTGTTATCGTGACAGGCCTAATTGTGAGCAGAGATTTTATAAAAAAAAAAACTAAAACATTTAATTGGTTGTTAGTAAAATGTTAAATGGGTCATGACGGATTTTTTTTAATGGAATAATTTACTTACGGTTTGTGATGCAGCTGCAATCAGATCTAGTACCGCTTCATCTTTCAACACATGTTTCTTTGTTACCTCTCCATGACACCGTGCCTCGCTTACAAAACAAAATGCTCTGATCAATCATCAGACACAATTCGGGGTGCCATTAAAAATAAACTATCCACTTGTTCCTTACGCTGGGATCTTTCTGATATCTGTACAAAGATCCAAACACGTCAAAGTGAACATTCTTTCACTCCATTTGTCCTTTTGACGATAGACACAAGTGCATGGACTGTGTCCAAAAGCGAACGCACATACTGTATCCAGTGTAGACAAGATAGCAGTAGTGATTGTAATTTCTATTTGCTTTTGACGCAACGCGACATTCGCATTCAGCGTGATCAAGTCCAGACGTTAAGCGACGGAACGGCAGTGGACAGGGCCTATGGTGAGAAGACTATTCGTCGATGTCTTGCTCTGGAGGTGGTGTTTATGCAAATGTTTGTGCCCTGGTGATGTCATCTTGCACCTCAGATCCAAAACGAGCCGTTTTTGGAGCTTGATTAAATAAATGCTGTGTTTATAATGAGCAGGACGTGATGAAACTTGCAGGATGTATTAAGCAAAGACCTCTTATATGCCAAAAGATCAAGGCAAATTTGATTTCTCATTTATGACCCCTTTAATTGAAGTATACAAGAAAATGTAAACACAAAATGACATTCTTCTGCTGATATTTCTTTTATGTTCTACAAAAGAAATTCACACAGTATTAGAACAACATGAAGGTGAGTAATTGATGACAATTTGCATTTTTGAGTGATCTATAATATTATATTGTCTTATAATACTTCACAGATCATTTTGTCAAGTATAATGTAGAAATTGTTAGTTATGGTTAGTGTGGAAATACGCTGGTTAAGTCATGTCAGTACCTATTGTTAGATCACCCGCCAAACTATCCATTTGCGCTTTTAGAGGATTGCGGTCTCATGCCAATTTGCCCTGTTTAGTAGGCTAAATCTGGCCCTAAAGCGGCACTTTGTAACTTTTGGCCTCTAGCGGTAAAAAAAAAAACTGCATGCATCTCGAGGAAGAACGTTTTTTGGTAGGCCTAGTGTTTCGGCTCTGCTACTCTGTTTGGATAAATGTTCTTCGTCAATTTATTCTCGTTTGTTGTGACAATAAAATTTAATCTTCGCTACTTTTTACTGTTTCTGTACACATGGACGAGTGACGTATGTGTGCAATTTCCCGCGAAATCCGTCCAGACAGCTTTAAAATGTGTTATAAAAGTGCATTATTTTGTGTATTTGGGTGAAGACTTTGGTAGATGGATTTATTTTATTTATTCATGTATTTTTGCACGCTCATTAACTGTTTTTATCAAAAGTTACATAGTGTAGATTTAAGTAGTATTTGTTAGTATAAGTTGTTATTAAGAGCTATTTAATAACCCCGTGACAAATGCAGATAGCCTCTTAAAGGTGTGTTTAAAAAAGTGTCAACAAACATTTAATGTTGTCAGGCGCTCTCACCCGTTTGCCCCATATGTTCCACTCTCCCTCGCACGCGCTGGTTTAGATGTAGTGTAAATGAAAGGCGTGTTTTATTGCACTGGCTTCATACTGTCATTCATCTCCAGAGCCACTTGTGTAATCAGTGAATCGCGCGCGCTGTGTGAGCACTAAGGTGAGAAAGCAGAGGGAGGAGTTTAAACTTGCCCGAGGCTTTGGCAGCCGAGCCGAGTGACTGTCATCCCTCCCTCGGGGTTATATGTGGACGCTTGCGCTGATTTCTCCTGCTCCACACAGCAGATCTGTGCGCTCGGAGGTGTCGTTCAGGAGCTCCGGCTCTCTCTTCTACCGGACCGGACACCCGTAACCATGGTAGACACCTACTAAAGCCATCACGGAGAGATACGCGTTTGTACCGACTATGGCTGTAGACGGTAAGCTTAAACCAGTTTTTATGTGATTCATAGTACAGTCACATGCGAACGATGTCCCGTTTAGTGACATGCATTGCAGTAGACAATACTTATGACTCCTGCTGTGTACTGTACTATACTATACTGGACTGAAGACTAATATTTTTGTCTACTAATACCTACTCTACTATAAATTAACTCTTTACACTGTTTACACAATATTTACAGTAGGCCTACTATTTACTAATTTCTTCTTATGCTAATTCTTTACAGTATAAAATATAATGTTAACATCATTGTCTACATCCAATTTCACTTTTTTTTTAAATTTAAGAATATTTTTAACTTAGGTCTCATCAATAATTAAATTCAAAGTGGTAAAAAACTTTTTCAATTTGGCTATTTTTTTATACAGCAATTCTTTAGACTATTGTTTTACTATTTACTCCCTATACTATGGTGTACTACTATAAGACCATTATTTTACTATTTACTTTTTTTCTGCATCCTGTGATGCTATTTATATGCTTTGCTGAATGCCATGCGCATGTTTTGGTTAGAAAGTTGGTGATTGGTGAAGCCTCACTCACACATTGTTGGTTTTTCTGATGTATTTCTGCCCATCATGTTGACATTGTGCTCAACCCGCTGAAGGAAATGTCAGCTAGAGTTCATGGGTTTGCAACTGGACATAAATATAAAGTCTACCTGACATCCTACATGATGAATGAAAACATTCACACACATGCTTACAGTGATCTCAGGGGCTTTTATGTAATTGTAAGAAATATATGTTTTCCCTTGGCCCCAGGCAATTATATGTAATCATAGTATATCTGCAGCGCTCAGCGTGGTGCTGAAACGGACAGCAAGACCTTGCCTCACTTTATCTTCTTCTTATCATGTCCTTTTCCTAATTCTTTCCTCTTTCACGTGAGTGATAGTGTAGATTCAGTAACTTCAAAGAATAGTTCATCCAAAAATGAAAATTAGTTTAAAATGTGCTGACTCTCAGGCCATCCAAGATGAGTTTGTTTCTTCATCAGAACAGATTTGGAGAAATTTTGCATTTCATCACTTGCTCACCAATGGATCCTCTGCAGTGAATGGGTGCCGTCAGAATGAGAGTCCAAACAGCTGATAAAAACATCACAATAATCCAGAAGTAATCCATACCACTCCAGTGCATCAATTAACATCCTGTAAAGTGAAAAGCTGCGTGTTTGTAAGAAACAAATCCATCATTAATACGTTTTAAATTTAAAACATTGCTTCTGGCCAAAATAATCCATAATCCATAATAATGCTTTCTCCAGTGAAAAGGTCAATCCTCTGTTGTTCTCTCATATCAAAATCCAACATATTTGTTTAGGACTGTTTTTGCTTGTAAGTGATGATTCTGTGCGTATTTCTCTACTGATTCAGACAAGACTGGAGAAAGCAATATTAGGATAAAGGACTCATATTTTAGCCAGAAGCAACAGTTTGAAGTTAAATACATCTTAATAATGGATTTGTTACACAAGACATTAATTGATGTACTGGAATGGTGTGGATTATTGTGATGTTTTTATCAGCAGTTTGGACTCTCATTCTGACGGCACCCATTCACTGCAGAGGATCCATTGGTGAGCAAGTGATATAATACTACATTTCTCCAAATCTGTTCTGATGAAGAAACAAACTCATCTATATCTTGGATGGCCTGAGGGTGAGTACATTTTCAGCAAATTTTCCTTTTTGAACGTTTGTACCCAGAATAGGATGTCCTTTATATAGAATTATGTTGTGCTCCCTTTGAGCAAAAACTTGCATTTGCAAACAAATTGCATAATCATAAAGTCTCCCTCAAGGAATGTTAGATAATTATGTTTATTCAAACATGTTTTTTTTTACCCAATTAGGATGGCTTGTTTTAATTAATGTTATATTCAGTGAGCAAATTATTATCAATGTTTAAGCACGTTTTCTCAGCCATCCTAAGAGAAAGCCTGATATGAGAGTACACAAGAGGTTTATTTCGAGGAACCTCATATTTGCTTTCAAGCCGTTTGATTAAACAACTCAATTACACTTCAGAGAACTGATTGTTTGCTTTAATATCTTCTAATGCACAGATATTGCCATATCATTTTCTGGTTACAATACAGTTATTGCCTGGCAAGGTTTCATTTTATACAAGCTGTAATAAAAAGATTTCCAGAATAACACTGGTTTCTGATTCACATGAAGCATGTTTGTGTCACTGCTCATATAAAGCTTCATCAGATCTGGGGAGGCACAGATGTTGGGTTAACCCCCACTCGCCCTGTTTCACACACCCGGCAGCTCTGAACCAATCCCAGCATGCAGCACGAAGACTGGGCTGTTTTCCTGCTACCTTAGAGACCACCAATGCATTAAGTGCATGGACACATGCGTGTCACTCATTCATTCATGCACACAGATGGATTAGAAATGCTAGACCCACAAGCTCTACTCACGGATGCTAACCACACGCACAATGTCTGAAAAAAAAAATAGAAAGAGAGAGTGAACGAGCAGTAGCGATAAAAAGAGAGTAATTTCTGGTCCATTTTGCTCAGATTGACATGCAGTGGGTGACGGGAGTGTATATTTTGGCTCAATGTGTTATCAGCAGAAGCGATTCCATGCTTGACCAGTCTGTCAACACCACTGAATGTTTTTTTTCTGTGACTGGTAGACATTTGCTTTTACTCTGTCTGTCATTTGAGAACACAAAAAATGAATTTCAAAAACGTCGCCTAGCAGACGTTTTTGCTACTTTTTTAATGGAAATAAATCTCGTGTGTCATATTCTCCACTTCCCAAAAATAAAGAATTAAAAAAGAAATAAATAAACAAAGCAAGCATATCTTTCACATTTACATTTAGTCATGTTGTTCATTTATTCTTTCACCTCAACTGCTGAGAGAAGAACAGCTTTTCCATCATATTTTATAATTATTTTAACTTGGTCCATCAGTTTATAAAACACAAAAACTGAATGCACTTATAATGAAAAGTCTATATGAAAGCAGTCAAAAAAAAATCTGTTTGAAAAGCAGAAATGTGAAGCTTGTGCTATATTTGTGTTTTAATGCTTATTTTAATTCTGTCATGTGTGTTATTTTAGCTATAAAGTTGTTTAAATCATCATTTTAACTGTGGGATACGTTTATAAGTATATTAATAAAGGTTTATACATTTTATAAGTAATATTATACGTAACAGTGGGACTACTTTTATACAGTTCATTGAAAGACTGGATACTAGTGATGCACCAAAATGATTTTTTACCGAAATACTGAAAATGAAATTACATTTTGCAGAATAACAAAATTCAACAGAAAGTTAAATTACATTTGGGTAACTGAACGTCTTTCAGAAATATGAGAAATAAACTCATGTTTCACAATTCTGAGTTTAGATCTCGCAATTCTGTTTTTTTTTTTTTTAATTATGTAATTCTGACTTTTTCTCAGAAAAAGAGGATATCTCTTTATATCTCGAAATTCTGACTTCATATTCTGAAATTCTGAAAAAAAGTCTGAATTGTGTGAAAAATGTCAGAATTGTGAAATAAAAAGTTGCAGTTACCTTTTTTCTATTTACAAATGGAAATAGGCTTCCATACAAAACAGATGCTGACACAGTCAAAACACGCCATTGCAAAGTGATACAGTAATTAATATTGGCAATATTTTCAATTGTCATCAATATTGAATACAAAATGTTAGAAACCAATTTCACCTTACTGGTCTCATTTTATCATTTATAACATTTACATTCAAAACGGTTTGTATTTTAAGTTTACCCAATATATATTATTGCCTTGTCCTATAGACTTACGTAAGTGAAATACACAATTTTTGTTTGAAAAAAGTCTAAATTATGTCTGTGGTAATGGACAGTATGTCACAGATGCTGATAATAGAGATGAACTATTATTGAACCCTGAACATTCCTTTAACAATGCTCCCAAATCTGTTCCTTTAGTAGCTTTTGTCCTAAAGCCTCTTGATCTTGTTTGTACTCAGTGCATTGTAGGTCAGATTAAATGAATCTCGGCCCAACCACATGACCGAAGTTACATCCCTGTGAACTGATTCTCACATGAGCGAATGAATAAAAGAAGAAAAGGAGGTGAAATGAAAGGAAGCTACTGTTTTCTTTAGCCACATAAACATGGTCTTTATTAGCTTTCTCTCACATGTTTGTTAAGGAGGGGCTCTTAACAGCTATTTGGTGTCCTGCGCAAAAGTTGGCTCTGGAGAGCTTTTGAAATGTGATCCTGTCTCAAATGGCGTGGAATGTGTGTGTGTGTGTGTGAGTGTTTAGGCCAGCATCATTGTGTCCTCACAGGCATTGTATCCACCTTAAACCATCCATCCATCCGTCCCTTTATCCCTCATCCTTTTGTATCATAGCTTTTAGAAGCAGACAAAGGATTTTGCTCAAATGGATTTTGTGTGTGTTTGTATTTTTGTAGAATATAGCATGTTTGATCGGTCTCTGTGCATTTTCATTATGTTTTTACGCTGCTGTGTGTGTGTTTGGGTTTTAATTCTCGTTCTGTTGACCTGTTGGTCTTAATATCCTCTTACGGTGTCATCACAGTTCACACAGCATCTGTGCTGACATCAGGGGAAGAGAAAGTAAAAAAAGCTTTGCCTGCTTTTTTTCTTGTAGTGATCCATTTATATGATAAAAGATTTTCAAATGAAAAGACGTCACTCTCCGTGCATCATAGGTTTAATGTTTGTTGTACATATTTGCACAGCTGGCATTGGTGGATATTTTTGTGTCTGACTTTGATCTGGTTAGACAGTTCGCCATCAGGTGCATTCACACCCACTCTAGTCAAAAAAAACTGAGTGTGTACAGGATTGACAGAATTTACATCAGAATTTGGAACCAGAATCTCATGGAGTCAAATAAGAATCCTTTAAGAATTACTCTATGAAAAATTTAAATCTTGCTGGATAATTATAATTTGTTCCAAAATCAGACTGTATTTC